CGACCTCCAAACAAACGCAAACTCTCTGGTTTTTTAGACCCGAGTCTCCGATAGGGACCCGCCTTTCTGATCCTCTCTGCGGCTAATTAAATCTGGCCGTCCCGTCTCTGCTCGGGTGATAATGTGCAAGTGATGAAACTGTGATTCTGCATGAACCCGACATTAAGAGCTGATATATTCTGACTAACAAAAGGCGCTCTCTGTCAGCGGCGCGACCTTGAGAAGATATGAGAGCAGCTTTCATCACAAACCACTTCTCGTTCAGGATAAGGGGAAGGAGATTGCTTTCTGCGTTTCTCATTTTAAAACACATCGGACAGGAGGAAGTCATCTTTGACTTTAGTTCAGGGACAAACTCCAGAGTCATTACTGACATTTAGTTTTCTGATAATTTCTTACCACGACACTTTAGAATTTATTACTGTAAATATTATTTATCTTATTTTTACCTCATTTTATTTATCTATGTTTACCTTATCTTATTTTACCTTATTTTGGTTGTATTGCACCGCGGGACGGAGACAAACGAAATTTCGATTCCACTGTATGTCTGGCATATTTTGAAATTGACAATAAAGTTGACTTTGACACTGAATGTACTTAAATCAATTTAAAGACGCATCTGTTGTCTCTCTCTTTCTTTAGTCTAACAAACAAAAAACCCTGACCCGTCCAGGACCTTCCTCACAGGACCTTCCTGCACAAATAACACACTTTTACAGATAGGAGGTTTTAAGGCAGCCCCATACGGCCGTTTTGGATGCCCCCGGTTTGTCAGATATGAGAGCAGTTATCAGGTCAACAGGTGTTGCAGCGATGGAAGCGGGCAAGAGAAGTGGTTCAGATAGAAGTGATTGTACCCGACCTAAAAAGCCTCTGCATGTTTCTAATAAGCTCCACGAGCAGAAACATGCTCAAACTAGGATCAATACTGGAGATGCTTTTGAAAAATGGAGAGAGGTTAGAACACAGAAAGGTTTACAGACTGATGCAGAGCTGGATAAACACTGAAGCTTCAGTGTCCACCACATGGCAACCTGAGTGAGCATGGACTCTGGGGGGGGGGGGGGGGATGAACTTACAGCATACTCACTGGTGCTGTCTGAGTTTTATTACTCTTAATGCAGCATGAACGGGTTTTAATTCATCGGGTGTTGCATCACTTCCTGTGTATTGACGAGCTAAAAAGTCATCAGACCACTCTAAGTGGTATCAGTGCAGCTGAAGGCAGATCTATAGTTTAGGGATGTCCTGATCGATGTCCGCTCCAATCACAGTCCGTTAACTGACAAATACTGACCCAGTTCTGCAGATATTAAACCCAAAACTTTTTTATTTTCCTAACCTAACACAGCTGCAGCGTGCACACTTCATGCATGTTCGTAATAAAAGATAAACACAGAGAGACATCCATGTGTGCAGAATATGGACTGAAGCTCAGGTCAATGTTTTGAAGCATAAAGGAGCTGCGTGAAAAGACAAAATCCTGCACACTGCTCTCGATAAGCTACACCAGTTTGTTAGAAAGAATCACAACGTTTCAGACCCTCTGACCTTTTGTCAGGAGTGTGGTTCAGAGGGTCTGAAACGTTGTGATTCTTTCTAATACATTGGTGAAGCTTAGCGAGAGCATTGTGCAGGATTTTGTCTTTTCAAAGAAGCAATCAGAGAATTTATATTTTAATTACTCAAATATTCCCCAAGCTGTGCAGTGATGAGTGTGACATTAAATATGTGCCTGTTTGGTTCTTAATTTACGTATTTCAGGCGTTAAATCGTCGCTTTTAATCCTTATTGTCCCTAACTAAAACATGAAGTTGTGCTATTTTTACACTGAAGAGAGTCACAGCAGAGCTCAGGAGAATATTAAGATTTCTTCCACCGACCATGAAGACGATTTTGATGTGATAAAAACAGTCTTTCACAATACTGTATGAAATTAACTCTGTGGCATTTGAGCTTCAGACGTCTTTATTCCCAGAATCATATCTCTCCCAGGAATGTTCACGCGGCGTTCCTCGTCTCGGCCTCTCCTTGAACTCGCCGAGATCTCCGCTCAATATTTGATAAATGAAGTTAAATCAAGGTCAGACAGCTCATCACTGCTCTTTGACTTCTTTATGAAAGCAAGAATGTGTCGTCACAGCGCCAGACTCTGTTGCTTCGTCCACTGTTATATGTTCCTCATGGCTTGCCTCCTGAGACCCCCCCCCCCTCCTGCTCCCACCTGACAGGTGTATTCTCCCACTGTGTGAAAGCCCTTATACTGAAACCCAGATCCCCAAAACCAAATTCAACAGAGATTCTTCTGAGGATCTATTTGATAAACATCAATAACAGTAGCCTCAAACATCGAGCACAGTCAGACAGTCTTCAAACTGACACACAGATCTTACTTTTAGTAACAGACTTAATTACCAAACAGAGAGCAGCGACCCCACTGATGAAACCCGCTTCCTACAGGAGTAATAAATGAAGATTATCATGAGAGCGGCTTCAAAGGACTGTATTCTCATTTAGAAAAAGCGCTGGAGGACATGAAGTTAAAAGGAGGGCGGATACAAATTACCGCATGTCATGAATGTCTTCTATTCAGAGCGACAAATACGCTTAAACAGGAGAGCTGCAAACACACACACGGTCAACCACACACGCTGCAGAAAAACCTGATCGGGTCACCTCTGGTCACTGAAATCATGTTGGAGAGGGAGCTGCAGTGACCTTCAAAGCGAACGAGCACAGCAGCTGATTTCACTGAAAACAACATCTGCAGAGGAGAAGGTACGCGGTCAGGACTTTCACGTCAGTGCGTTCGTTCCCCCCGGAGGAAGAAGACGATACATGACGGGACACGATGAAGCTCGTCGACGTCAGGCCGAGCTCAAGTCACAGACAGGCTGCCTGATGATGAGACGTAAAGATCACAAGCGGACGCTTATTGTCCACTTTCTTTTGGCAAGTTTAAAATCTTTCCGTCCTTTATTCAGGGCGGTATGAGGCATATGCAAACGCATGACATCAGCGAGATGAAATATGCATATAACCTCTAGGAGCAGTGTAGGGTTGTCATGGTGATGGGGCCAGAAACAGAGACACCAGAGAGCCGCTACAACAATGGAGGAAATTTTAGAGGAAAAGTTACTAGAACTACCCGCACTGCTTCTCTACTTCACATGTGCTGTACTGTTTGGAGAGTTTCCCTTCGTGACATCACAAAGGGCAGTAACCCCTCCCCCAGGTGGGTGACACTCCCACAGCTAATCGCTCCAAATCATTGAAGTGCTCATTTGATGTTTAACCACATGAGCTTAAAACACGAGGACAAAAAACAAGGAGGAGACAGACAACAGGAAGTCTCACTTCACATCATTAGCTAGCCCTGTTAGCCTAAATAGCTGTGGTGATACAGGTGCAGAGAGGGTTAACGTGCTAATGAGGAAAATGATGACTGGAAGAAGAAGGCGTCAGAGAGCTAATGATGTTTGTCGAGAAAAGATGTCTGAGGACAGAGAGCGAGCAACTTGAACTGGCTTCAGAGGAGTGGGCCCGGAGAGTCTGCATCAGATGAACCTTAATGTAGCTGATTTTATCTGCAGAGCTCGGGAGAAAAGGTCAAAATATTTCAAGCAGAGCCATGAAAGGAACGTGCAACTCTGTAATGCTTTGAATCTTTGAACCACTGCAACTTTATTTCTGGTATCTTATGAACCTACGAGGGTTGGGCGCTTTTGTCTGCAGAGTGCTAGAATATCAAAATGACTGGAAAAGTCTGTCCCTACTCAACAGGCATGGTTGCCATTTAGAAGTATGAAGACAAAACTGGCAACAAACTTGAAGTCTAAGGTTGCACTCAGAGGCAGACGCCTTTTCTATTTGGACAAAAGTTTGCAAAACATGCGACCTTAAACTAGTCAATCCTGATTTTGCACGAGTGACACTGGCATATAACTTCTTAACACATGAAAACAATAAACACAGAGAGAGCGCTGAAGCTTTTACGCGTGTGTTCAGACATTTTTAGAGAAGAATATGAGGGGAATTAAGTGGAGCAACGAGTGAACATTATCGGAAAAAGGTTTATCGACTTAACCGACAAAAAAAGCATTAGAGGTATTATGAGAAGAAGCATCTTTGACATCTTAAAGCTCTGAAGTTTGCACTGCTACAACAACCACCTCCATTATGGACACTCAAACAATCCATTCATTTTTTATTCTAACTGCAAAGTGTCTCAAGAACAGAACATATAAAAAGGTGTTAAAAAAAGTGGCAGACATATTTTTTATTAATTTTCATCGACCAGTCAGTTTTCAGCCTGGAAACCACTTTGAATGAGTTCATGCAGCAAACATTGTTCCTCAGACTCTGGGGTAACAAAAAGTTTGGGATGATCCCTTCCTGTTTCACCATGACATGACCTCCTGTGTAGGCAGGCAGCTCCACAAAGGGAGACCTGACACTCCCCTCCACCACCCACCCCCCCCCCCCCAACCTGCTGGAAAACCTTCAAACAAGAGCGTGTGCTGTCAAGCTCAGCAGCTCAGTAAAAAGCACAATGTGTTCGGGGAAAAAAAAACACATTCAGAAATTAACGATGAGGGCCATTTTCAGGCTTACACAAACTCCTTAGCATCTGAAGAAATGAAAGTGAACAACATATGAGGGGAACATATGACATGTCTGAATGTTTGGTGTTGAAACTCAAAAAAAAAAGAGAAGACAATGCACAAATTCAGTCAGATTGTGCCATCAGCTGACAATCTATGTGAACCTGCTCTCACTCCTGTAGGTTAGCTGTGTGATGTGTGACCCATCAGAGACACACATGTTGTTTCTGTTCACACAAACACAAACACACACACAGACAACACATGACCTGGAACATGCCGGGGACTTCTCAGGATGTGAGCTGGACTTTACCGCCCTCTGGAAGCCATGCTGCACACCCTCATGTTATCATCACCAACACTCATTAAAATGAGCCATGTGTGTGGGCTTACCTTGTCCAGCTCGTCGTGCAGCTCCGACAGGGTGGGTCTGATCAGCTTCTCCCCCAGAGGCGCTGCTGTCTGCCGGTAGAAGTCGATGTTGGGCACGGCATCGATGGTGTTGTGTCCGAAAGTCCTCAGGTAGTAGGTGTTGGTGTGGGTGTCGTAGTGGTAGTGATGCTGGCCGCCTGTGGATGAATGCAAGCTGGTCTCGCTCATCACCGTGTCCCCGTTCTGGAAGCCCTCCATCGGCGCTGCGTCCGGAGAGGCCGGGCTCCCAGCTCCGCTAGGGTCCGCGAAGTTCACCACTCGAAACCGGCCTTTGGCTTCCTCCCCGCCGGCCCCTGGGTCCGGAACATCTGGCGGAGCGGCGGGAGTGGCCTTATCGCTAGATGGGGCTGTGGTGGAGGCGTCGGAGCTCGGGGACCTGTCCTCGGCGGCGCCCGCAGCCTCCGTCACAATGTCCACCTGGAAGCGGCTCTGACTGGGCGTCGGACCCGCCGGCTTGAGCCCCGCGTCCGGGGCTAGAAAGTCATATTCAGCCGCGGCGCTGTCTGCCGGGGCGGGAGGCGCGGAGGATGTCGCTGACATGGCACAAAAACAAACGTGAGAGCCGAGTGAGGGGAAGCCACGTTACGGCCCGCAAAGTAACGGGAGGGAGTGTGAAAGCCCCGGAGGAGTCCCGCAACAAACGCACCACTCGCTTCCTTTTTACCGGGAAGAATTGCCGTCGCGCCGGGCAGAAAGGCGAAGAAAGCGGCGCGGAGAGACGTGGAGGGTAGCTGTTAGCTGCCTCTGAACATGAGGCGACAAACTTTCAGACACTCTCCTCTTCCTCTTCCGCGGCTGTTTATCCAAAATCCCCCCCCGGTGCTGTCGGAGCTGAGGACTTAATCCTGCTCCCCTCTGGCCCGGGTGTGTTTGTGTTTGAGTCTCCGGTGTCTCGGTGTTTCGGTGGTTAGGAGCAGGATGCTGGTGTCGACCTTGCCGCAGCTCCTCCTAGACTCCCTGCGCTACCCTCTCTGCTATTATACCGACTGCAGTCGACATCACTGAAGGGAGGGCTCCCGCTGATGCTGGTCTCGCGAGAGGTCAGCGAGAGCGTCTCTTTTTTTTCAAAGAGGAAAGGAAATGTCGCGAGAAGACATCACAATACTCAAGGACGAGGAGAGAAGGGGCGGGGGTGAAACTCTGCACCGCCAACAGGCCAAGCTTTGTGTGCTGCTGCTGCTGCTGCCTGTCTGTCTGTCTGTCTGTCTGTCTGAAGCCTCACGTGGTATACTGAGACAAGTGTTTGCTGCCATATGGTGGGCTCTAACAGCTAATACCACTGACTCAATTAATTTAGTGTGTGTGTGTGTAGGGGGGGTGAGATCTTTTCTCGTTATAACGAGATCTTTTCTCGTAATAACAAGAAACCAGGCCAAAAAAAATTCCCCACATGAATGCAATACGCTTCCATACACACCTGTGCCCCCTCTCCTCCAAGACACACACACACACACACACACACACACACACACACACACACACACACACACACATACAGCTCTACTGTATGTTCTACTCTACTGTATGTAAGACTTTAGTTAAAACTTCAAACTTTTTACTCCTTTATCTCAAGAAAGTCTCAATAAATCTCATGTACGGAGGCCCAGAAGGGATGATGGAGCAGCTTTTCTTTAGGATAAGTCTGTATTTTAATATTTGGGAAAAAACTGCTGACTCTACCTTTAACAGTTTTTACTGTGCCACCTTATTTAAAATTTTCCCCGTGGTTTTAAACTCAAAAAGTAATTTCTGCCATTGCATGCAAAATCAGATGATAAAGTCTTTTTCTACTTTATTCTAAATATGATGAAGAGAGTCTTCCTGTGTTTTTTTTATTTTTATAAATGTATCAGAGTAATGGATATGATCACGCAAATACCTCAAAGTTTTACACACATGTTCAACTTCCTTAAGTATGTTTGTTAACTTCCTCCTCTGATGAGGAAAGATAACGCAAGTATGAGGAAGAATCAAGAATAAGACCTAACTCAGAAAACAAGTGGCTCTTATCAATGTTTTTGTAACGATGACATCACATAAATCTGTGGCTATAAACTCGGTTTTCTTTCGCTTTAAAGCAGCTCCTTGTTTAACATCCAGCCCTGATTTTACTTTCTTTCTTTTTTTTTACTTTTGTCCTCAGCTGTAAATGCCAAAGTTCACCACCTGATTAGCAGCAGACAGACACAGTAAGAGACCATAGCCGGGGAACACGGTGCTGCATTTAGCTGCTAAGGCCACTTTACAGTGGATATAAACTTGTTTACAGCCTGGTACCGTAAACAGTTTTGGTCTCTAGAGGTCAGTTATATGACTTTGAGCAAGCAAGTGAAAAAACAGGCAGAAACCTCGAGCAGAAGAGGAGTCCATCTGGAGCGCCCCCTGCCTTTTGCACTTGCGCAGAAGGCAAGTCCTGTGAAGAGCTTAACTAAATGTGCAATCCCTGCTACTTCATTCAAGCTGTTTCAATGCACTATTTTCTCAGTATGAAACCAGTATCAGCTGATTCATGCAGCTGCACATGTTGTAAGTTTTTCCAGGACATACTGTACATATTTTTGAACCACCCACCTCATGTTTTCTAAGCAATCCGCATACATATATCATTTTCATTCGTTTTTAGCGCCGCTTGCACTCCTTATCACTGCACTGTTAATGATTTTGTTGTGTATTTTGTCTGCACACGGAGAGCTCAGCAAACCAGAGGCAAATTCCTTGTATGTGCTTTAATCTAATATCGCTGATTCTGAAATGGTTTTTCTCCGGTTTAATGAGGATACATTCGACTGAATCTCATTTGTCGTGAAAAGGAGCCTTGATTATGAGCCCGACCTTATTGGCCGACATCAGGTGGATCTTATTAAAGCTCCTCTGGCTGAATAAGAGAGATGATAAATGGAGGCTGAAAGCATAACATCATAAAGCAAAGAGCAAACAGAGATCAAATGGAGGGAACTTTGAGGAGCCCTCAGGACCAGCGCCGTCCTCCTGCTGACCTTTTGACCTATTGATCGCAGTAACTTTATAATAATATCGTTTGAGACATCATTGCTCTGCTCCGTCCCTACAAATCCAATCTTAGTAATCAGGTTTGTCTGTTTGAAGGTAGATTGAATTAGGCGAGGGAAAGCTCAGTGTCCTCGTACACGTGGAGCAACGTGATTCTGTCACTGTTGGAAAGGCCCTTCAGGGTGTCTCCTGAGGCGGAAAAGAAGAGAGCGCAGCTGTGCAGTCACTTATAAATACTCAAATGAACTGGAAACATGATGCCACAATAGTGATTTCTACGTCATGAACTGTCACCGAGGACTATCCAGAAGACGGATGCTGAGTGAAAAGAAACACGAGAGCCTACAACGAGAGCCAAATCTACTCAAATCAGGAAATCACTTTTTATTTCTATGGTCCATAGCCTTAGCCTCTTGCTCTCTCTTCATCCGCAATCCCAATCCAAACCGAACCCTTCTCATTTCAGCTGGATCAAGGTCTTTAGGAGCATGTTTGTACCCTTTTTTTTTTTTAAACACAAAGTGCAACAAGAAGTAAAGTGGCAGTGAAAACATGCGATGGGCAATCACCTTCTACATTTCCACAAGAAACATCTTATCTCCAGGGTGCAGACTTGCGCAATAGACAGGCACAATATGAAAAGAATTTTGGGAACACAGCAAAATGAGAAAACAAGAAATACCAACGAGAACGTCTTTTACGGAAAAACAGAAAGAACATTTTAATAAAGTCAAGAATGTCAGACGTCAGCAGATAAAAGAGTGAAACAGGTGAAACAGATGTCAGGGAGGACAGATCTTTTATTGAAACGAGGGTTGTTTATATCATCTCAGTTTGAAACAAAATAAATACAGGGAGAATACACCTCCAAATATTCACAGAGCTTAGTCCAGAGTTTAGGCCGAGCAGGTTTTAGATCGATGCTTTATGTTCCCTCTCATGTCTGGATTTACTCATGAAGGGGGTCCTGGGTCGGTTGGTCTGCAGCCGAGTGTGAAGCTCATGTTTGGTGTTTGAGCGGTGACCCGAAGTATGAGATCGCACATACCAGAGCCACCGAAATTTTACTCTGCAGGGAGTCGGGCCCGGCCTTAAAGTGACGGAGAGAGAGAAGGTCAGGAGGGAGCTCAGAGGAGAGCTGCAGCTCCGTTGCATTGAAAAGAGCGTGAGGAGGTCGTAATAACATCAGGTCACGATCCTCCTGCACAGGCGCCTTTCTTTAAATGTCAGAGACTGACCCTAGTGGACACTGGAGGAACTGCAGCTGTAAAGATGGACATTTTAACATGGGGCTCTATGGGGACTGACTCACTGCAGGAGACAGACTCTAGTGGACCAAAGAGGAACTGCAGTTCACTACTCTTTTTACTGGTTTGTTGTTAATTCATCTAGCAGAAAAGAATATTGCTTGAAGTGAAGGTATTCAACAAGATTGGGGTCAAGGCATCAGGTAAAATGCACCTGAGGAGATAGTGCACTTTAAATATGTTACCATTCAGGTTGTTTACAGTGAACTAAGACCATGGGGTTCCTAGGGCAGCTTCATTTATAAATCCAGCCTCTACTGGACATCTTACCTTTCTTTTGAAGCTACTTATACTTCTTTTAATTCCGAGAACATTTGTTTAAAAATGCTTATTTTTGTGTATTTCTGCACAGGATTGAGCTGTTGTTTCTGTAAAGTCTGAACCCCCCCCCCCTCCTAATTAGGTCACAGTGAGAAAAGTGTTATTTAGTATGTAAATAATCATGAACCAGGTTTGTTTGTGTACTAACAAACATCCTCTCTCTGCTTCAGCAGGCATTGTTTGCGGCGGCCAATCAGAGCAGGGGCTCATTATGCCACTAACGACCCACAAAACAAGCCAGTCGATTACAGGTGGGTGTGGACACGTGGAGAAAACGTCAGGCGAAACTAAAATGCCCTCAGAGTGACACAAACATGTTCCGTATTTAAACAGGGTGTTTTGTTCTTCTTCATCAGTCTGCAGGAGAAGATGATTCAGATAATGCTTTTATTTGGTATGGTGACCTCAGCTGTTTTCACATATGCACCCTTGAAATATCTAGGAAATGTTTCTGAAAAGCAACTGAGTCTGACGCTGTAATGTTCGTTTTTTGACTTTTTCAAGTTCAACAACAAATTGGCGATCAGACAACGTAGTGAAACAGTTTCATGACATACATGGAGATCGAATTGATTGCACGCTATACAGTTTATGGACGTGTGCCGGTCACTCCCCCTTTTCCTGAATATTACCTTCTGCGTTCTTAGAGCTCACCCAGACTTCACACAGATAATAAACTATCGGGGGTTGGCAGGAAAAACTTCCGATAAAGTCAGAGGGGAACATGCAGCAGACAAGGGCAGCTGTGGCTCAGTGGTAGAGTCGGTCATCTCTAAAACGGAAGGTTGGGGGTTCTATCCCCGGCTCCTGCAGCTATGTGTCCTTGGGCAAGACATTTAACACCAAGTTGCTCCCAGTGCTTTGTCTGTGGTGTATGAATGAATGGATTAGTTCCTTCTGATGGTCTCTTTACTCAGCAGCCATCAGTGAGTGAATGTGTAGGTGTGACCTGCGGTGTGAAAGCACCTTGAGTAGGCAGAAGACGAGAAAACCATTTGCATGCAGCACACCCTTAAAATGTCTCAGGAGTTTTGTTCATGTGTGAAAGCAGCACCAAAACACACAAACATAAATAACGCTCCTGCTGCTGCCTGACATCTCCCCTCAGGTATAAAGTTTCCTATCCTGCTCTACTTGCAGCAGTTGTCGAGCTGATTATCACACAGTGTCGGACTCTGCTATGAGGAAGGTCAAACCCCCCACAGAGAAAGTGTTTTCTTCTCATTAGCAGGAAGGTCCTCTAATCCAGTTAATGTTGCTCCTTACAGCTGGAGCCTGTGCTGCCTTCACTGAATCCACAGTGTTTGAAAGGACAATTCTGCTTCAAATAAGAACTCTACTTTTAAATCTATTTTAACAAAACACTA